TATTAGAGACCTTAAGATTGACGTTTACGGCAAACGTCAAACCGCTAGCGAAGTTTTTGATTTTACAACTCTATTATAATAGCTTTTACACCAGTTTTGAAATATGTTAAACTTATTAAACTTGGGCTCTTTAGCAATGATTTAAGAAAACAAATTAACCACTAGTCATGCCATTCACCAAAGCAGTAAATTAAGATTTGGCGTTTGAAGTTGACGTTTGGCGTATAAATTTCATGCTTTAACGACTACAAGCCCTCGTAGCAGTTCAAGCATAAAATTTATACGCCAAACGTCAACTTCAAACGCCAAATCTTAATTTACTGCTTTGGTGAATGGCATGACTAGTGGTTAATTTGCTTTCTTTAAATCATTGATAAAGAGTACAAGTTTAATAAGTTTAACATATTTCAAAACTGGTGTGAAAGCTATAATAATAGAGTTGTAAAATCAAAAACTTCGCTAGCGGTTTGACGTTTGCCGTAAACGTCAATCTTAAGGTCTCTATTGTCGTTATACTCCGTAGGATTCTCACTTTACACTTGTTGTTCCATGTTTGAAGTGTAAGATAAAATGGCCAGTTCACATAATGAATATATTTCATTTGAAAGCAAGTTTTGCTATGTTATATTCGATTCTTTCTTTAATAGGTAGCCATTTCAAGGTTAGCACATTTTCTTCACTGGAATCAATGACCACTTATTATATACAAAACCTGCTGTCCAGTTTCCGACCCTTTACAGTCCTTTTATCAGACAAGCTCGCAAAGAAGCATAAAATATAATACGTTGCAAACCTAGTCTATAGGCAGTACCAATGCATCTGCAAGTTGTTCATATACATATAGTGATTCTTAGACTTCTTTGGTTCGCGTTTGTACGATTTTTATTATTCCTTCGTTGTGAAGAATAGCTATATATAGCTCCTTCACTGGGCTCACTCGTTTCAGTTGAGCGATCCTTCACAACACGTAAATATAAGCCTAACTATTTTCCCCTAGGTTCCTGCGGCAGCTTTTCTCGTTATCATAGAACGAAATCTACAAATTGAAGACCAGGAAGTAACGACTCGTAAAGGTCATATTAACATGGTGTTTTATCTGTTTTGGTTGCATGTCTATCAATTGTTGACTGTTTTGTGTTTTTTCTGGACTGATTTTGTCCCTGGATTTGGTTATACAGATAACATTTATCATTTCTGGGAGAAGTACGTATATTTCTAATTCAATTATATACAAAGTTATTCTGTGTTGGTGTAGTGCCCGCGTTTTTAATTCAATTATATACAAAGTTTTTTCTGTGTTGGTGTAGTTTTTCTGTGTTGGTGCATGTACTGACCGCGTAGCTCAGTTGGCAGAGCATTGGGCTAGTACTCCAAAGGTCGTAGGTTCGATTCCCACCGTGGACAGGCATATTTCAAGCTTGGTCGATGTGGATATACACTCAGCGTAACATCACAAGCATCATTATATACATGCAATGTGTAATTATAATACATATGTCATATAAAATGTCATTTTGATTGGCTGAAATGCATGCTCAATAATTCGATCGCGCACGGCATAAAAGCGCGGGAAATTTTTGCCTCTTTTGATATCAATAAAAAATAACTTGTTGAATAGAAACAAACTCACTTTTGACAGACAATTGACTTATTTTAACCAAATTATGTGTAATATAAGAAGCAACGTTTTAAGGACGCTTATATTCGTCTCGGTTACGATATCTTTTCAATACTTTTTCTAGTTGGTGGTTTGGTGTAAGATGCTTCTTTGGTGGAGCGGGATGCGACTCAAAGTGTGGGGTGCGAGGAACAATGTTCGTCCTGTTGTATGCGATGAGCTATTTTGGAATTGCAAATTTGACGAGGTTTTCAGAAGGCGCTACATTTGTTGCTATTGTTAATGTAAGTTACGGTTGTAACTATATCAGAGCATGGTCAATCGAGTTTGTCGGTACAAATACGGCAAACCAAACGTCAAAGTCCCTATGAAAGTATAATGAACTATACGATCTTATGTCGAGACAGCTTCAACGTGCGCAAATCGTTTGAAATTATTCTTATTACCAATTACATTCAAGCGTTACCACGGCCGCGATAAAAAGTTGTTTCTGAGTTTTGTAACCAAACTGGCGATTGGACAACTTTACGTTTCACATTTCAATTATAAATTCCTCTTTGGCACTTTTGCTGTTTTAGTTTGCTCCATTGTATAATTAAAATGTACATATATTGTTCTAAAAATGTCTTTATTTTGTCAAATGATAGGAAAAATATTGTTCTTGTAACTTTATTTTCAGTTTGTTATTGTCTTAACACGGAAGAGAAAATAGTGACCGTTGCAAAACGAAAAATTACGCCCCATGTCATCACTATTTTGAAGTGACGTAAAGTTGTCCAATCACAACCTTGGTTACAAAGCTCGGAAACAACTTTTTATCCGGCGCGGTGTGGGGTGGGCAAACGTTGCGCTTCTCATTTCCCGAACGCATTAAAAACAATTGATAATCAGCTGAAATTATTCATTATCTATTGTTTCTAAAGCCGGTTTTCCACTAGGCGGAATTTTGCGTGCGGAGCGGAATTTTTCTTTGTCTTGTGATTTCTCGGGTGGAACTAATTAGAAAAGACAAAGAAAAATTCCGCTCCGCGCGCAAAATTCCGCCTACTGTGAAAACAGGCTTAATGCATTTGGCACATGAGAAGCGCGACGTTTGAAACAGGCCTCATACGTCGAATTTTGGTTGCGTCGAATGCAATTCAAACAATAGATAATGAAGCATGAAGCTTTTTCAAAGTGAGGTTTATCATCTCATTATCTATGTCTTAATTGCATTCGTCGCGACCAAAATTCGACGTATAAAACAGGCTTATAATTCGACGAGATGATTGCATGCTTCATTATGCCAAAAATACATTGTCTTCACCGTGACATGCAAGCTTACATAAACTTGGACTAAATCTTGAACAGCAGAGTTTCCAAACCAAATCTTGACTGACTGTGATTCGAGTTCTAAATCGTAATTTGCGCAGGGGTAACGCCAATCATGCACATATTGAAATCACCATCAAAACACCTGTAACGCTTACCAAGCTTTTGATATTTCAATTCTTGTTTAGGTTGCTGTCACTCCGTTGGGTTTTCTTTTCTGGACCATATTCCGTGAATCGCCGTTTGGTTTTCATCCCGCCATTCACATCACAACATGGTTCAGTATAGGGGGACTTGTGCCTATGGTGCCCGCAATATTTTTTTATACAAAACTGGGTAAGTAATGCCGATGCTTGATGTAGCCAGCCGATGCTTGATGTAGCCGTGTGGGGATGGTTGAGAAAAGTGAAGCCAAGATAGCGAAAACTGAAAACGTTTTATCAGTTCATAAAACCTTAGTATTATTCTTTAAGTCCAAGTCAAAAACGCAAAATGTACGCACACTCCTTGTAGCTTCGTGCATGTTAACTACGCAGTCAAAGCAATAGAAATGGATTAACATTGGGCGTCAGTTGCCTCCATGCAAGTTCGCTTTACGTATTTTGGACTCGAGTTCCTAGTCCAGATATACAGTATATGGAGCTCACTGTAGAAACCACCGCACAGCCTGTTAACAAGATGTTTTTGCCTGACTGCTCGTTCCCAGTGTCGACAACTGAGTCTGTTGTTGTTGCATCATCTTGTTACAGGGTTGATGCCGATAACAGACTTTCAACAAATTAATTGTTCCAACAAGTCTGATATCGTCTACACGTAACAGGTTATTTATTTATTTGTGCTTCACATTTGAGTTTAACGCGTCAACTATGTATTTCCAAGCTAACGCCAAGTTTTCGATGTTATTATACTCTCACATGAAATTGACCAATAACTATTGTCTATAACACGATCACGTGCCTGTCTGATATTTGACGATGTATAGGACTGGTGTCATGGCTTTGTTTTTGAAAACTAGGTTATTAAATTTGTGTTTAGCTATTCGCCGCCAATGTGTTGTGATACATATATGGGTGTTGTCGCTATATTATTATCGCATTGCGCTCTTGGGCTCTTGTAAAATTGTTTTGTTGGATATAATATTAACACTGATTCGATGGCACCTTCGCCCAACATGGCAAATATTGACATAACTTCAATATTGGAGTCAAGTCTTAAAAAGATACCGCGGTCAAGAATCGTCGTTCGCCGCATCATACCAACAAAATATCCGAGTTTGCAAATGATGAATTGCGCAGAGAACGAACGCGTCTTGATGTCTCCGGCGGGGGGAGGGGGGTAGTAAAATGTGTAAGTTGATGAAAATCAATATATGCAATTTGTGTTTCTTCTAGCCCAGAAGAAATCATCAAGTCAACGAGTCAATTACATAGCAGATACTGGTTTAACGAACGAGTCTTTTCAAAACCCGGTATAAGGGTATAGTATCACATGGAGAATTTCAGTCAGAGCCCGGGCTGAACTCCAGTCTGGCCTGAGCATAAAATCCTATATTAAGGCTACGTTTCCGTAGCGATGTAAAAAAACCCATCTATCCATACCTTTTAGGAACGCTATTTTCAGAGGATTTATTTCAACGAAGAGATGTTGTTTCGCTCAGCTTCTGAAAGTTGTACATTCTGTATCGGATAGGTGATTTTTCACGTCGCTAGTCTGATCAGTTTAGAAAATCGACGACGCGAACTGAAAGACGCGCCTTCAAAACAAATAAATTCTTCGTGTAAAACAAAAAGTTTGAATAATCTGTAGCCTGCGTAGCCGGCGGTTTTAAGGGCCTCAACCGCAACCCTTAAAATCGCCGGCTATATACGCAGGCTAAATAATCTGTGGTCCCAGGGGTTCCGTCAACAACGTTGACGTTGTCATTCTGAATAATACAACGTGAGAAGTGAGATTTCACGTCATTGGACTGAACGTGACTGCTTGTTGCGACGTTGGGAAAGTTACATAAAATCTGTCTCATAGCAGACACCGGATTGTTTTTCCTCGCGCGCGAACTTAGCCACTTGTAAAGTTACTTTAAAAAGCTTCAATTTAGCACAGTAATCAAGTTCCTTAGCTCTCAATCTTGAGCTAAAAGTGAGACCGCGTCGTCGTGTTTGCCTCGTGGACTTTTCTGAATCTGTCTATAATTACTAGGTTGAACAATTTTGATCAATGTTTTACTGTATTATAGGTGCATGATGTATCACTTGTACATCTATTAATACACGTTAAATGTACGATTTAGGAGTAAAGAATACGGTTATACAGCGGCAAAGAACTATGTAACTATGAAACGACGAAGTAAAATTAACGAGGAAATTTGCTTACCCGTTATTAAATCTATATATACCGACCGTATGAATTGGAGTTCTTTCTTCAGATTTTCGCCAAATATTTGCACATAACAAATAATTATCCTTGCCTCCCGTGTTTTCTAATACACTACCACTGGAACGCCGATTGTAGCATTCCGTAGTGTTTGTAAACTTTCAGCAAAGCCAAAGCCTTTGGCAAAGGCAAATCTCAAAAGACCAGCCCATATTTCATTCTAAATATATAACATTAATGCAAAGCAACTTGGCATTAAAACCTATATACAAGTGAATTGAAGCTTCCCCTGCACGTCTGCGGTCTTCGAATGGTAAAAATATGGCTAAGTATTACTCATTATTTGAATATACAGGGTGTATCAAAAAATGTATACCCTTTCAAATTCAAATTAACCGTAATCTATTGTAGTAATTTGACAGCCGTATAATTCCTCCAATTAATGATGCGTGAAAACACAAGGTCTTCTGCACATGGGAATTTAGGATTAGTTCTACAGTATTTGTATGAAAAAGTAAATACATAACTCAGAAAAAAATGTTTAAAGTAAGCATTATTCAAGTCCGCATAAGATATAAAATGGGCCAGCTTACTACAGAGCAATGAATAATTCTTTAAGAGGCAATTTTTTTCAATGTCGCGTATTTGCGATGCAAAATGTTCAAAACCTAAAATCTTTATGGCGTTCCTCTCAAAATTACTTTGTTTTAGCTCTATTTTGCAGTTTACACAGTTTGCAACCTTTTTAAATGTATCTGGCGGTTGAGAAACACAAAATAATAGGGCAAAATTGTCAATTTAAATACAATTACCATTTGATACTGTAAAACAGACGCCATATACTTAAACAGCGATATAAACAGAACTTATGGAACTTCAGACATCATTTTCTCTTTGGCGTACCATCTAAAATCTCTTCATTTTAGCATAAATGGGAAAAAAACATTATCTCGGTCACCGAGATCTCGTTTGTTGAATCACCGAGATCTCGCCGTGTCCCAACAGGCCTATGCATGACCACAGCTCCTTTTTATTTTGCCGAATTTCCAGGGGTATATACGATCTTATTCCCATAAAATTTTGGAAATCTTAATCCTATTCACATTAAAGGCTAATTTCCACTCATGAAAATTGTCCGTTGATTGGAACGGACAATAGATAGACAGAAGATAGAAAAACTTTATTTACCCACGCTAACCCTGTCAACCGAAGCTGATTTCCACAGGGGGCGTGTAAGAAGAAAATTACAGTAATAGGAAAGAAATTACAGTAGTGGAACGTAGTTACATGAATAGTTATTTACAAATAGTAGAAATAGTATTAAGAAGTACAAATAGTATAGAAATAGTATAATAGTTATTTACGAATGGTAGAACTATTGGTATATTTATTTAGAAAATGTGAGCGGCAATATTTTTTTGAAAGCATGACAGAGATTTGCTTTCCCTAATTTCATTTGGAATAGAGTTCCACAGGGCCTTTTTTAACATACAAGCTGGGGGCATTTGCCCCCCAGTCCCCCCTTGTGCCCCCCCCCCCACGAAATCACATTTTGCCCCCCCCCAGGAAAAGGCCCTTTTTCCTAAAATTATACAAACAATCCAGCGAAGATTAACAAATAGATAAACGGAAAGTAATTTTAGGCTTTATCCTTTGTTCTTGTTTAACAAAATCGATTTAAATTGTTACTTTTTTTACCACTAAGCCATGATAAATTATTGTTAATATTTTTTTTATTTTTTGGATGCTCAGAATGCAGAAAATAGCATTTCACGGTTTCAAATTTCAAAAATTTTCTTGGGATTATCCCTCTAATAAGTAATGATAAATTACAGTTAATATTCTTTTTTACTTTTTGTGCCTTTTTCCATCTTTTATTTCAAATACAACTATAGTTAGCATAAATTTTAGAGCAAATTTGGATGCTCAGAATGCAGGAAATGGCATTTCCGTGGTTCAAATTTCAAAAATTTTCTGGGGGAGTACACCCCCACACACCTGACCATTGCTATCCTCCTCTAATAAGTAATGATAAATGATGATTAATTTTTTTTTACTTTTTGTGTGTTTCTTCCTTTATTTATTTCAAATACAAGTATAGTTAGGATAAATTTTGTAGCAAATTTGGATGCTCAGAATGCAGGAAATGACATTTCCGGGAGTCAAATTTCAAAAATTTTCTGGGGGAGTACACCCCCAGACCCCCCATTCATGCGTGGTATATTTGCCACACACGTGGCTTTCAGATATTGCTATCCCCCTCTAATATATTATCTCACAGAAAGGTCCCTTTTCAAAAAATGCCCCCCCCCCCACGGGAAAATCCTTAAAAAAGGCCCTGGAGTTCCATAGCTTACCACCATCATACATGAAACTATTTTTCATGCTATTGGTGCGTGGTTGTGGCAGACAAAGGCCACTTGAAATACTTCTGAGTCTATAACTTGTTATCTCATTTTTATAAGTAAAGAGGTTTGTGAGAGATTCGGGGTCTATCCCATTTAGAGTTGTACAGTAGGGACGTACGATGGCATTGTATATGGAGATAAGTGTATCTCTTTCAGCAATAAATGGTTTGACACGACGTAGAGCTGAGATTCCTGATGTTATTTTTTTGCAAATACTTTCGGTATTAGGCTTCCAAGATAAATGCTGATCAATTGTTGTTCCCAGAGTTCTGGATTTATTAACTTGCTGGATTTGTTTGTTTTCAATTAAAATATTTGGTTGAGAATTTGAAGCATTTCTTATCATTTGTGGAGAGCCAATCAACATAAATTCTGTTTTAGCCACATTCAAGCTAAGTTTATTGGCCATTAACCAGTTCCTAAGGTTTTCTAGATCAGAATTTACTGCAATCTCAATGTCAGCTATGGAGTGACTAGAGGCTGTGAGGTTTGTATCATCAGCGAATAGCCGAGGTCTTGTATTTTTAAGACAAGAAAATTTTTCTTTATCTTGTAAGCCGTAGGTTGGAACTAATGACTTTAACACAAAGAAAAATTTTCTTGTCCGTTCCAATCCACGGATAATTTTCCTGAGTGGAAATTAGCCTTAAGACATTATATTTTGGCAAAATTTCGTTATACCGCTAGGGTGTCCCAGAAAAGTGCCCCTATAGAAATCACTCTTTTGTTGTTAAACGTGCGTTGTTATGCCTCTGGGAATTTAAAATAGAGATAGAGAGATAGACGTTCATTAAAAACTACTTTGCAGCTGAATTGTGTAGTTTAGATAACTTGTACAATGATGATGTGTGTAATATAAATATTTACAGGTGGTGTATTGACTCTTCCAGTCCCTCGTTATATTTGAGTTAGTGTGGGCGAATATGCCCGTTCGCGGGTTAGGCGTTGACAGACATGTCGGAAATGCAAACCTAACTCATTCCCATCATCCAATGCGAGCGACTGCGAATGAGTCAGGTGACAGGATACAAACGCCAATTTTTCATGCGCCGAATCTAATGAGTAATGTGATCAATTTGGGTCGACTTTTTTATTCAACTCATTCGAGTTACGTCAAAATTATTTAGTTGAATTTAATAGTGAACGTATATAAAGTGATACATTTGTGCAACGGATTGACATCATGACAGTTAAATTTCAAATGGCAATTTTAAAAATATTATGTTTTCATAACAAACAGCCTTCCCAAATGCGGCTAACTACAGTCTACAGCACATTTACATGTACAATAATGAGCAATTACACAAATTATATTTCGACTCCTAACCTAATCACAATCCACAACAATCCATAAACTAACCGACTCCTAACTAAGAAATCACAAGACGAAGAAAAATTCCGCGGGATTCCATATGAACAGAACAAAATTATTTGGCTAGTGGAAAACTGCCTTTATGATTTCTCGGGTGGAACTAAGTAGAAGTAGACAAAGTCAGAGAAAAATTGCATTCCGCGCGCAGAATTCCTCCTGGTGGAAAACTGGCCTTATACGACCGGGTCGGTCGCATTTAATCTGGCCAAACTATCGGATTTAATTATTCAGAAGTCGAACTTTTTTGATGAATTGTAATCGGTTTTCCACTTCAACCGTATCGCACAGTCACAGAAGCGTATTTCTCTTTGCTTCTTGGGCACTAGAGTGGAACGAATGACTTCGACACAAACGAAAATGCTACGATTCGTTACGATTGAAGTGGAAGACGGGCTAAAAAGCTAAAAATATTAAAATTTGGTATACCACTTTGCTGTTCACTGGCGTGCTTGGAATGTACAAGTGACTGATGATAACCTTAATTGAAACAGCTGTATATATTTGAGGGGTATGACTAAAGGGAGAGTTACCAACCGGAGAGTTATCTCGGAGAGTTATGATTTCGGAGAGTTATGTTCAAACCACGCCCACTTTTCCCAACGACCACACCCAATTTCTTAACTCTCCCGACGTTCCTTGAACTAACATGAGAGAGTTATGTTTGACGTAACTCTCCCGTTAACCGATTATGAAGATGTTAAAGAGTTATCATATTTATAACTCTCCGCGTTCACGATTATGGCAATGAATAGAGTTAAGTCAGTTTTTTGAGAAAACCTTAGCAAAGTTTGTTTCTTCAGATTTTCATCTTATATTTTGGTATTTCAGTTTGTAGCGTGTCAATAGCGTGCGTCCAAACAGGAAAATACGACTTGACTCGGTAAAAACAATGAGATCAGAAGGGTCAAAGTACCCCCAGAAGCATGTTTTGACGTCTATTTGGCAGTAAATACGGCAAGCATAGTTGCAAGAAAATTAAGAAAATTGAATCTTTCAGCAATTCAGGTTTTGGAAATACTTTCCCATATCAGCCAATAGGGCATTACATTGGAAAGATTTTCTGGTTCTATCTAATATGTATCTGAATGCTGGTTTTGCTAGATAATCTAAGTGAGCATGTATATTTATATAAACATTTACATATAGATGAACTTTGTAAGTACTAAAGTACTATTAGTTTCTACTAGCGTGAGATGTTAAAGCTGACACTTGAGAAAAAAATAAATTTACAAAAATTTACTAATATGTGGAAGTTTTTTTCAAAAAACTGACTCAACTCTCTTCATTGCCACAAATGAATGGCAAATTCATTACATCACTATATCATTGATGCGTACCGACAACATCTATATAATTACTTCCGATACCAAAATAATCACCGGATTCGTCCTTTCTTTAGTGATTTTTTGCCTTTTAGTTCGCGCACTTGTATAGTTTGAATATTTCACGCTACAAAGGTTGCCAAAGGTGGAACCGACTTCGCCGGGTCACGCAAGAATCGCATGGTATTGGCGTGTAAACTTCATAGATATCTTAGATACACTAGATAGCGCATCTCTTTTAGTAAAATTGAAGCCAAGAATATTCCAGCGGTTACCCCCATTTGAATAAATGGCGGCCATGTTGTTTCCCACTCGCTAATAAACGCTTAAAAAACAACAATAACTTTCATCATGTTTGCGATGTTACTCTGAGTGCATATCCACACCGGGCGAGCTTGAAAAATATGCCCGGCCACGGCGGGAATCAAACCTACGACCTTTGGAATACTAGCCCAATGCTCTGCCAACTGAGCTACGCGGTCAATAACTTTCATCATTTGAATACTTTAAAAATGTATTTGGAATAGGTTTAACTGAATGTTTAAGTTCCCTGTTTAAGAAATAGAAAACATACGAGTCTTCTCATTTCATGGGAATATCCTGAGTCTGCAAGCCCAGTTTCAATTTTTGAATTGCAGAATAATTAGATGCACCATCTAGTATATAAGATATCTATGGTAACATTATACGTTCGACAATATAAAAACAGGTTTTAATATGATTGGCACTGATGAACCGCCGACATACTCGTCTGATGGTGTACGTGTTTGAAAATCATGAGTGATACAGTGTTTCAACCAGGGGTGTCAAGCTAAAAAAACACTCTTATAAAACTCATTTGCTTCTATACTACTCTTTATTCAAACAACCTTTCAGCTGATTAGGAAAAGATGAAACATCTTCAAAATTTGTCAGCAAAAGATGGCGCATCTTTCTGACAGAAGAGCATCTGTCAAAAAGAATTTGAAACGCAGAATCATAACCGCATGGTATACACTTTTCAATTTCAATTGATTATAGTTCATGTACCGGTAGGGTTTATGTCCTCCTGGATAATGCAAACGGGACACACTCTAGTTATGGCCTGTTGTTCGAGAGAAATCTTTGCAGGCAATTAAATTTATCATCCACTTCTTACGGAGTTCTTTTGATTCCACAATTTTAACATTTGGAAAGTTACAAAAAAAGGAAAGCTCGAAATTTCTTATATTGTTGGTAAAACAACCAGGACAGCCATTCCGCACGTTGTAACCAATAATTTATTGGCGTTGTAATGCCATTGTATGCAATAAAGTATTGGGTTGTAATGGGTCTACAATTAATCCAAACGTTAATCCTAATCCAAACCCTAATCCTAACCTCTAACCCCACCTCCTAACCCCACCTCCTACTCCTAACCCTAAAGCCGGCCCGCTACCCCTCCGGGAAAAATACGATGAAATTAAGATGATTAATTGACGTTTTTCTTCGCGTTCAATTTTTCCCCACCAAAACTATAGGACGTAAAAGAGCTCAAAGGTTTGTACCATGTACGTGATAGTTCTTTTTTGCAAATCAGTTCTACATTAAAACAATTTAACTAGAAAGTAACTAATATCATACATTAGGGCTGAATTTAATAATGAAGTTAGAATAGTTCGAATGATGTTGATGATTTAGAAATTTCAATGCTTCACAATATAAAGATAAGATGTATACAGTATCAATATATGTCATATACGTGCAATGAAGCAATAACAGTTGAATAAAATGCTGAGGTAAATCACCCCTGTAGAATGCACTCTTGAGCTCTTGTTTAAAACGTGAGCAATTTACGGCAAACGCGACGGCGAGCTCCTGAGTCCTGGTCACGTGGTTTCTAGTGGTTGGCGGTTACACGTTTGCAAAAAATACGTCAAATACTGTCTTGGTGACATGGTTGGGAAGACGTTTCCAAATTCCCTTCCACGGCTAACAAATTGTCAATTGGTGAGCAATAAAATCATAAAAATTTTACATTTACCGTTCCCGCTCAAATTTTTCGACTGGACAATCCAAATCCTCGTTTGCAAATTGGACACCTGATCTGCGTGCGCATATCTCATGTAAGTGATTCCTCATTAGCCTCCTTAGTGACGTCGATTAATGACGAAATAGAATTTATTCACAAAACAATGGAATTTGCAGATATCCAGTAAAGTGATGACAGTATAATGTAAACCCGTATTAGAATTAACGTTTGTACGTATTTTAATATTTAACAATTATACTCAGCGACCGATTATATTACAAGTTGGTTCATGGTGTTATTATAACTCGCTTATAATTTGAGCCCGTCAAACCTAATTAGGATTTCGATGGTGCCGGCTTCTCATACAATCATGGAATTAGAAGAACCGAATAGTAACGTACCGCAAAAACCGAAAGGAAAGGCTGTAACAATTGCCTGCCTTCAAGTCAATTTGACAATAGCAAACGTATTTTTTGCGTTTTTGTCAATCGCCGGTCAGGTTGGAATGAAAGTGACTTTGCCTCTGTGGATAGACTCAACAATATTGACGCCTTCAGGAAGACATTCAAGTTATGATATTCAAGCCAATGCTACTGGTAATTTATCAAACCCAACTAATTCTTCAACAGGAGATATTGGAATGTACAAACCTGAAGTTGACGCGTACTTTGTCTTGTCATTTGGGATTATAGCATGTTTTACGATTTTTGGAGCAGGATTACTTTTCATTCGGTTGTTTCAACCGCATCAGCTCGGCGAGACAGAACGAACGTTTCCGCACTTGCAGTTTTTCTTAGCTGGTTTCTTCAATGCATTGAATGGCGTTTTTATCGTATTTGCCAGCAGCGGAAGACGGACAGCACCCTACCTGCAAGCGATTTTAAGCAATGTAATGATTCCTCTTATTATTGCACTTCGGTGAGTAAAGAAAGCGTGACTTAATACATAATCAATTCATTAGGGTGTGATTAGCAGAGGTGTAAGTTCATATTCAGTATCATATAAAGTTTGACCAGTGCTTTCTCGAAAATATTGTAATAAATCATATTGTAATAAGGCAAAAACGAATCAACTGAGCAATTTCATTTCAATGTCATATGACTCAAGCGAACGCAACTGTGGCAAAACTTGGGCAGCCCTCAATGGGCCTCTTCAACGGGGAGAACAGTTTAGGAACATAATTGGTATTATATCACACACAATATGATACGATATGTTCTTTCTAATTTAGATATTTGGTTCTCCGTAAAGTGCCAACTTTGCGGCAATTCGTCTGTGCCATGATTGTATTGGTTTCATTGTTCATTTGCCTCATTCCAAAGATATTTACTTCTATTAATCCTAACGCAGACGGTTCCGAAGGAGCAAGTGGAATTGCAGGAATCCTGTGGCCAGTGTGTTTTATGTGTGGTTCTGTAAGTATAAATAAGAACGGTTTCATTTGCTTAATGGTGCAGAGAATCCGTCGGACAAGAAAAGGAAAATTCTGAGAATGCTTATAGCTTTCAGACCTTAGCCATTGTTTGAATTGTTTCATGCTACTAGCATTTCTTAGCTTTCTAGGGCTTTTAATTTAGCATTTCTTAGCTTTCTAGGGATTTTGTCACACCTATGGATTTCTCGCCTTGCAAGGCCTTCCTTGACTTTCCAAAACGTTCGAATTCCTTATCCCTACCAGCTAGCGTCATTTAGTTTTGCATGCATGATAATTGACTTCTGAATTTCCAACTGGGTAATAATTTTGGAAAAATTACCCACAGTAAATTTAAACAAGCTTAAATAGCTGTTGAAAGTTAAACAATGGGATCAAGAGGCACAAAAGCCCATGCATGTTCATACACATACACTGATCAACTTTATTTCGGTGCCAAATTATTTAGCTACGTATAGCTAAAGAGCAATGTTTTAAATTCATCATATGTTTCTCACATAGCTCGCTCAGCATGATCAAAATTATAATGGCAGAATGTTTGCAAAATCAAAGGTCAACCTCTCGCCAAAACGTATACAAAAATTATGAGTTGTATCTACCGAAATCATCAGTTTCTATTAAGACATCGTCCACGCGCATATCCGGCGAAAACGCACACCGAAACGCAAACTTTTGGAAACGGTCTTCAATTTGGATACATGTCGGTACGGGCCATGGTGTGGGCCCTATTTGCAAACGATGACATAATAAATGACATTTCAGGTCCACCCCACTGAGGTCTATACCCACACTAATAGCAGTATAGAGTCCAAAGTCCACGTTGATCTATACTGTCTTTATACTGTCTATAAGCTCACTGTGCCAGATTTTTATTGAATTGAACACTGGTGCCTGCAAGTACAAAATGTGAAAGGCTGTTCCGTTGCGCAGGGTTTACAGGACTACAATGCGCGAAAATTTTTTGCCCGGTTAAATTAAACAATTGTTTTGTCTAATACACTTCGTGATGAAAATTGACATAATTCATAAATCGTAACCTGACTACTGCGAATAAAAATTGCATTGTAATTTGTATCGGTAACTTTTCTGATGATTCAGATATAATTGTAACTAGGTACAAAAATTGATAGAAAGTAAACTTTTACAGTATTGCATATAGCTAAAGGGGGCAATGTATTGTTTTCAATTCATCACATGTTTCTCACATAGCTCGCTCAGCATGATCAAAATTATAAAGGCAGAATGTTTGCAAAATCAAAGATCATTCAACATCTCCCCAAAACGTCCAGAAATTATAAAGTTATGTCCACAAGAATCATCAGTTTTCTAAGACATCGTCCACACGCATATCCGGCGAAAACGGCACACCGAAACTGCAAACTTTTGGAAACGGTCTGTACGTCTGTAACCGGCATGTTTTGCAAACGATGACGTAATAAATGACCCACGCTAATCAGCAGCACATTGTGACTTTATATATTCCGTATGACATTTAACTCGATAACAATGTGTACAATATACATACTAGCTTCAATTACGATATTTCAAATGGATCGACATACAAAAGACACAAAACAGCACACGCATTATATGCGTGCACCTAATATACAATATTTCACGACATGGTCTACTTTCCAGACCTCGTTGAAGATATATATATATATATATAAGAAATCCATTAAATAAATAATGCCTTATAAGTAAGCCACAAACGAGAGATCCCAGACGCATGTAGAGGTCCTATTACCTATCCCAAAATTAAAATATTGCGACTTCACCATATATATCTGTCCATTCGAAGGTCTCGCTCTTATTTTTTCCCTTGTATAGTAAGCACAGTGTGTCAAAATAATTATGATGATCTGAAAGCCCGGCAAACTTCAAAGCCAACAAAAATAGAAGACCTTTGTTTGGTGTTGAATTGTACCTCACCGTGCGCAAATCCTTTGTCCCCAACTCAGATTAAATATCATTCATCGTGGTTGCACGGTTCATCTCAGCTGGATCAATTGGGCGATTACTTAAAAAAACACGAAAATACAATTAGGACTCAAATCAATTTTTACTTCACTATTTACAGGATTTTTCTCAAGTAAAGTAATATTACAATCAATTGAATCAATCACCGTGGCCGTGCACAAATTAACATAAACGCAGACTAAAACAGTAACACAATGACTTCTGTTAAGTTTGCAGACCATCATATCTTGATCAATAGAAATAACACTAAGAATTTTTAAAAAGCGACAATAAAACATCGTATTTACGAACGTATGCAGGCTATAATGCAGCGCGCTTTTTCAGCACAACTTAGAGGATTATACAATATTTATTTATAGACCCACTCCATCGGGGATTCCAAATTCCTTCGGGTCTATAAATTATAAGTAGTGATTGACACGCCAGACGGAGAGCATAATCGAATAATAAATATAAGAGACACAGCAAATTACTTTCAAACAAGATATAACAAAAAAGAATAAAAGTTATGACAGAAAGTCAAAGTTATGAATATTAATTCAAAGGCAGGACGATTTCTGTCGAAGTTATGAATATTAATTAAGAGGCAGGATGATGATTTCTATCAAGGTTGTGAATAAACGGGTAGGGATAAAACGCGGAAACGGAACGGAACGGACTGGCGGAACCGGAATGGCGGTAAAACGCGGAAAAGAGGGTAAAACGAAAAGAGGGTAAAACGCGGAATAGAGGGTAAAACGCGGAATAGAGGGTAAAACGCGGAAAAGAGGGTAAAATGCGGAAAAGAGGGTAAAACGCGGAATAGAGGGTAAAACGCGGAAAAGAGGGTAAAACGCGGAAAAAAGGGTAAAACGCGGAAAAGAGGGTAAAACGCGGAAAACAGGGTAAAACGCGGAAAAGAGGGTAAAACGCGGAAAACACTGACAATTCTAATCTTAGTAAACTTTGAAACCAAACTATACTTAAAACTTCGTTTAAGATAAGGGTAAAACGCGGAAAACAAACTTTGAAACCAAACTATACTTAAAACTTCGTTTAAGATACGTTTTAGGTTTTGGAGTGCTAAATCAGTATCATTACTTCGAAGATTATATTCTCTATTAAGATGTTTAATTTTTATAAATTTTTCTCTAAGACTTGGAGCGGACTGCTCATTAAGAATTTTATACATCAAAATGCTGTTCACCCAATGACGTCTTACATCATATGCCCACCGACTAATAATCATACACCTACTATGTAAAGGCCGGTTTACACCATCAAAGTTACTGTGATCAAAGTGACGTCATCTCGCCCAAGCAAACCTGTGACTTAAATACTTGTGGGTAGTAGCGGCCGTATTTGTTTCCGCGAGAAAAAAGATTCACTTCGCCATTACTGGATAAGTATAGCGGGTCAGTTATAATTCTCTCAAGTCTGTTATTTAATTTAAGAAATGCCGACTTGACGCCAACGGAACCTGATAATTTGAGAAAAACACTTGCGGTTTGACAAAGAATACCACCTACGCAGTAATTGGCTAATCGCTTTCAGTGCGAATATCTTGCCATAGGCTTAGTCGCTTTATAGAGATAGTCTATACTGCATTATCCATACAAGCGTCGAGTCTGTAAAAATTTTCATGATGCATATACTTAAAACATAACATTTTGACACTAAATACATAACGATTACCGCGCTGTCAGTGCACGTTTTCTTTGCATATACACTGTAAATTTCAAGGAGTTGAATCAACTCCGCCGAGTGTTATATTGTATCACTAAAAACGATGACAGATTAGCTATTTTAGAGTTGTTTCAACTCCTTGAAATTTACAGTTTAGACAACATGTTTCACAAATCTAAGGAACTGTGTACACCATTTCAACGACCGAATTAATCAAATTGTCAGATATTTAATTTAAATAACCCGGAAACATGTTGTTTGTGCAAAGAAAACTTGCCCGCAGCGCGCAAATCTTATTTGAAAAGCCGTTAAAAAATTGTATGTTTACACGCGCAAAAAGTGACGTATTTAGTGACAAAATGTTATGTTTTGAAAGGTAAAATGGTAAATATCATGAAAAATTTGCTTTCAAATAACTCTTACGAGTCGTTTGGGAACACGCTGTCTCGACTTAATTAAACACAAGTTATGGTGTCATATAACTGACAGGGTAATGTTATTTCATTAATTTATCACTATACTTTTGACAGTCACAGTTAACGAAAGGACTAGTTTAACTGATACTTGAAGGAAAAGAGGGTAAAACGCGGGAAAAAAGTTTTAGAATAGTTTTCTTTTTGCGCGGTAGGTATGTAGCTTGGTAAAACTGTATTTATTTAAAAATTATACACACTAGTCCCTTCAACTATGATTTCCACGAAGGGCGTGTGTTATGTCATAAAATACTCATACGTTTACGATATTCTGATATTATTAACAACCCTGATAACTCAAATATTACACTCAATTAACCTACATAACTAATAGCTATTCTGTCATCGTTTTTAGTGATACAATATAACACTCGGCGGAGTTGATTCAACTCCTTGAAATTTACAGTGTATATGCAAAGAAAACTTGCACTGACAGCGCGGTAATCGTTGTGTATTTAGTGTCAAAATGTTATGTTTTAAGTATATGTATCATGAAAATTTTTGCAGACTCGACGCTTGTATGGAAATACAGAATAGACTATCTCTATAAAGCGACTAAGCCTATGGCAAGATATTCGCACTGAAAGCGATTAGCCAATTACTGCGTAGGTGGTATTCTTTGTCAAACCGCAAGTGTTTTTCTCAAATTATCAGGTTCCGTTGGCGTCAAGTCGGCATTTCTTAAATTAAATAACAGACTTGAGAGAATTATAACTGACCCGCTATACTTATCCAGTAATGGCGAAGTGAATCTTTTTTCTCGCGAAACAAATACGGCCGCTACTACCCACAAGTATTTAAGTCACAGGTTTGCTTGGGCGAGATGACGCCACTTTGATCACAGTAACTTTGATGGTGTAAACCGGCCTTTACATAGTTGGTGTATGATTATTAGTCGGTGGGCATATGATGTAAGACGTCATTGGGTGAACAGCGTTTTGATGTATAAAATTCTTAATGAGCAGTCCGCTCTAAGTCTTAGAGAAAAATTTATAAAAATTAAAGATCTTAATAGAGAATATAATCTTCGAAGTAATGATACTGATTTAGCACTCCAAAACCTAAAACAAACTATCTTAAACGAAGTTTTAAGTATAGTTTGGTTTCAAAGTTTAAAACCTAAAACAAACTATCTTAAACGAAGTTTTAAGTATAGTTCGGTTTCAAAGTTTGTTTTCCGCGTTTTCCCCTCTTTTCCGCGTTTTACCCTTTTTTCCGCGTTTTACCCTCTTTTCCGCGTTTTACCCTCTATTCCGCGTTTTACCCTCTATTCCGCGTTTTACCCTCTATTCCGCGTTTTACCCTCTATTCCGCGTTTTACCCTCTATTCCGCGTTTTACCCTCTATTCCGCGTTTTACCCTCTATTCCGCGTTTTACCCTCTATTCCGCGTTTTACCCTCTATTCCGCGTTTTACCCTCTATTCCGCGTTTTACCCTCTATTCCGTTTCCGCTTTTCCGGTTCCGCCATTCCGGTTCCGCCATCTATTCCGTTTCCGCTTTTCCGGTTCCGCCATTCCGGTTCCGCCAGTCCGTTCCGTTCCGTTTCCGCGTTTTACCCCTGCCGGTGAACCAAGCGCTTTTAATACATTTGAGCATTCAAGCGGTGCAACTGAATAGCCTTTTAATTGTACACAGACATATCATAACATAATTAGTTAATTACACATAATTGTACACTTCAGAAGTTTGGTTATCGAATATGTTTTCAATCTTTACCTGTATTGCGTATTAAACTTGGGTAGAAACCTTACACAGCAACGCAAACAAACGACAAATTCATCAGTAGTCTGAATCACACTTTGAAATCCACTCGTATAGGAAAGAAATATTGAATGATAATCACCGACGCGTAATCCGCGATCGCATGAGCAGTCAAGCGGCTTTTGTATGGACCATTATGGCAAATGTTTGCGCAAAAATTTAGGTTTGTATAAAAGGACGACGCGGGCTGGCGGACTGGCGGATGTAGGACGCCATCAAGGGAAATCAACGTATTTCGTATGTGGTATGTAAGAATAAATACTGCCAAAGTCATCTACACTCGTCTGCATCTAGTTCATTTTAACGGGTTCAAAAACGAAAAGTCATTGTCGTAATTCTAAGCGCCTTAGATATATAAATACGAAGAGAAAGTAGCTACATCCTGTTTCTTTTCCGCCACATCCATTTCAATCCACCATGCACTATACTTGCGCCACTGACTATAACCTCAATCCGTACGTGCTAGTGTTCTTGTTAAATGGTTACAAGTGTAAACTAAGCGAAAGTTATTATGAATGTAAATTCGAGATCAAAGATGTCCTTTCAAACTGAAATGTTCATGCGACTAAAGAAATCTTTTCTCTTGATCTCGAGTATTATTCTTCACTTAAAAAACTGTTTAACGTTTTAGGTACTATATTCTTTAATATTTAACTTTACACAGTTACAGTAGGCAACATGAGGTAGTACAAAAATTGTTTAGGAGGAAGGGAAAATTTCTGCAGACTACCAGTTGATCAATTAAAAGGGCAAAGCAAAAGTACAATTACTGTTTTTAAGCATATAGAACGTTTACGCACTGAACTGAAAAACTGAATTTACTATATGAGTAAATTCTTAAACACGTCCGAATTTAACATTATGATAAATTCGCGGCACATTTTGAATTTATCAATAGAGTTAATCATCAAACCACAAGCATCAGACAAGACTTCTTGTTATAAATGTAATGGCAGTAAAAGGGAGGCTGGTCGCGCGGATGTGGGGAGATTTTTAAGATTTTCAAAAAAATAGTTTTTAAAAAAGTTTTAAAAGTTTAAAGAAGCCCCGAAAGTTTAAAAAGTTAGATTCTCAAAAAATTTTAAAAAGTTTAAAAAGTTAGGGTTAGGGGTTAGTGGTTAGGGTTGGAGTTGGGGTTAGGGTTAGGTGCCGCGAATTTATTATTATGATAAATTCAAAATGTGTCGCGAATTTATCATAATAATAAATTCGGACGATAAAATCGTTTTAGAACGTTTTGAAACATGCACTTATTATTATGTGAATTGTACTATGCATGCACATGACATTGAACGGATTAAAAATGACTAAAAAGCTTATTTATAGGACTAATAGTCCAGTCAATCTGTGACCATGCAGAGGTCAAAGAAATTGCAATAGAATTTTTTTCAGTGGTAAAATGCGAGGGAAGGTGTCCTGATTAACATACTAAAAATCCAAAAAAATCCCTTCGGTGGAACATGGTAAAAATCGAGTTTCTCTTACTTCTACCTAAAGAAAACCATTGTGGACAGAATGTTCAAATTTGGAAATCATTTTTAGGCACTAAAGGTCAATTAAACCGTTATATTCAATTTCACCTAGCATTGGCATTTTAAATCTTGTATAACTTCGGCTGGATAGGCAAAAGCAAGGTAACCGTTTAAATTGATCTATATTTAGTTTTTTTCTGAGCTTTCCAATGATGCAGGTTATATTTGCAAAAAATAATTTCGGAATTTCAACATTTTGTAATTCATGGCCAATGGTATATTCTGTTGGCAGAACTAAGAAAAACTCGATTTTTACCATGTTCCACCGAAGGGATTTTTTGGGACTTTTAATTTGTTAATCAGGACACCTTTTCTCACACTTTACCACTGAAAAAAAAATCTATTACGATTACTTTGATCAGGACCATGTACTTATAGTGATTTGACTGGACTATAAAAAGCTTATATTTATCGAGATTCTATGTCTGTATGTTTTCTTGCCCAATAAACAAGTAATTTTTAACAAGCATTTTTCTTGCCCAATAAACAAGTAATTTTTAACAAGCATACAGCACAAGTTGAATTGATTACAGTATATCTTACTATATAATATCATGAATTTCCCAAAGGTCTGGTGCCATACCAACTGATACATGGCTAACCATGCACGCGCCCATTTACAATGCGCTTCTTTTCCATCGCTGATTCGTGGAAACGCGCCACTGGGATAGAGCGCAGTGATAGCAGACGGATTCCGTACATATACTGATAGCGGACGGACAGACACACAGCTTACGTAGAGGCTGCTCCATTTACTCTTCTAGAACATTTGGAACACTGTTCTGGAACGATATGAAATGGAATGCACACGGCATTCTGAAACAGTGTTTAGTATATGCGTGCAGCCATGCATTGCTATATTCATTAGTTATTCGCATAATAAATCGTAGCCTATAATGATTTGCTGTTGTTTGTATATTTGAGTATGCGCGCTTGCAACGTTTCTAACATAGATATCTTATATAAACTAGATAGTGGATCTAATTATTCTGCAATTCAAAAATTGAAGCCGTGATTGCAGTTTCGGGTCGTTCCCATGAAATGAGAAGACTCGTATGTTTTCTGTTTCTTAAACAGGGAACTTAAACATTAAGTTAACCCTATTCCAAATACGTTTTTAAACTATTCAAATGATGAAAGTTATTGATGTTTTTAAGCGTTTATTAGCAAGTGGGAACGACCAATATGGCCGCCATCTATTCAAATGGGGGTAACCGCTGG